CACCAGCTATGCTGATTTTATACCAGMTCAACTCCTAGAGATTCTTAAATGCCCACACACAAGGGGTAGAGGGAGGTGCTTTGTAATTTGCTGGAAAAGCAAACAAATCCATCAGAGAGAAAAGTGAAGCACATTGCCCTACTTGGAATTTAATACCTCCATTGGTACCAGGCAAACATGGGCTCCCAGATACACAGAAAATCCGTTTATTTGAACATATGGGAGAAAATGTTGTAAATATTTCCTTTGGTTTGTGTTTTTCAGCAGTCTGCCCTGTTTAATAAATGTTTATTCATACTTCCCTGCAGTTTCCATCAGGTTAGATCATAATGTGCCTGTTAAAACCTGCTTGTAAAAAGAAAAACAGAATCAGACCCTTCCCTATTTTTTCCAGTACCTCCTATATGAGTGTGCTGGTGATCCAACCCRAGAATTCCCTACATGGATTTCATAAAATGAGAAATAGTGATTTGTAGTTCATAGCCCAGGGTGATGCACACATGGGGCCTTGTCCAGATCTGAGGCAGGAATACATTTTATTATGTACTTCATTATTATTATTATTATTATTATTATTATTATTATTATTATTATTATTATTATTATTATTATTATTATTTTCCATTCTGTCAGTGTCTCACACTGCTGCAGGAATACAAACACAAATGGGAAATATCCACTGCTTACCTTTTGTGGTTCCTCAAAAGCACCTCTAACAATGCTGGAATAGTGAGAGGAAGTGGGAAGAGTTGAGCCCTGCTCCTTCCCCTGTGCTGCAAACTGCTACAGGGAAGAGCCAGCACCATAACTGGTGACACCATAGCTGGTGACACCTCAGCTGGTGGCACTCCTCGTGCCATGGCACAGCAGCAGGGATTCAGTGGCACAGGGATGCTGGAGGTCACCTGCTTCCAGCTGGTTTGGGACTCTCAGCCTATTCATAAATGTGGATTTCACTGGAAAAGGCCTTGAGACAGGGAATCCTCTGAGTACCCTTGGACTGGAACCCAATGCCACATCAACCAGTAACAAGCAATTACAGCTCCATTGCAGTATATAGCAAACTATAAATGCACCTGCATTTTCGGCCTCTTTCTCCCTCATTTCCCCTTTTTGCCTCTCCTCCATCCACTGTTTATGCACCGTTTTTCCCCTTCTGTATCAGTACAGCACCTCACAGCAAATCAGCACCTGGTTTTCCTGCACAGGTTGTAATGGTTACCCGCATGGTCTTAGCATAGAACAGCTAAAAACTTCTGGCATTCCTATCAAGATATCAGTAACTTCAAATATTGTGTGCCTTTCTGAAGCCTGAGTTTGATACAAAGAACAGGAATTTAGTGATGTGGGGAATTTAATTCTTGCTATTCTTCYCAGTTTTCATCTCCAGCTCACATCCATCCCCTGCTCAAAAGCACTTCACTAATTCCTGAAAAGATGCAGCTCCTAAAATACATCTCGGAGKCTCCAACAGTCCCAGAGTGCCTCAAGCACAGTGGACCGTGCCAGTCCTCTTCCTTACTAACACCTCCTCACAGGTATTTTATTTGCAGAGAGGARGAGTCCTGCCAAAAGCACTTGGACTAAGGCTGTAAATAAATTCGTGTGTAAGGAGGAGGTAAATGAGGGACAGAGAATTAAAAGAAAAATGTTTCCTGATTATTACCKACACTGAGCTCCCACAGTCAAAGCAGAAACCAGTTTCATTCCAAAGTAGCTGCAAAGCTTCATTAATACAAGAAATCTGCTGTCTAAATAATTGTTTTCTCTAGAGGTTTTGGTGAATTGACTGTGTTGAGTACATTTTTATTTGTTGGTAACGTTCTTCACAGTGTAGCACTATTTCATTTTAGCTGCTATCAAATATCACTTGTCATAGAGAATTGTGAATAAAAGCCTGAAATATAGGTTAGAAGACAGGAAAATCTATAATTTGAAGCCTTTTACCTTTACAAATGAGATTATCTGACAGCCACTCACCTCATACCTGGCCTATTTGGCCAGCTCCTAARCCTTGCTGTTGCTAATGCAGCAATATTGTGTGAGCACAGCTGCACTGCAGCTGAKGAACAACTACATCAATCTAAGCTGAAAAAAAAAAAAACAAAGGAAGGAACTTCTGCAGTGAGGAATGAGCACTGGGATGAGAATTCCCCCATTTTTCTCTAAGTGTTAAGTGGCAGGACAAATCCTGGGCTGAACTCCCCAGCTCTAGAAAGTTTCAAAGGTTATTTTTCTGATCATGACAGAGGGAGAAAGAATTGAAAAAAATCAATGTAAATATAGAGCTGTCATCAATGACAGGAAAAGCCTCAGAGAGCTGTTGGTCTCGGGGCCAAGATCAAACTCATTGTTCCCTAAGCAAATTCATTTCATCATTTTCTGCACACTCATTCCAGCCGATTTCCCTGCAGCATTCCCAGGAGCTGTTCCCACCTCCACATTTCCTGGCCCAGGCAGGCAGGAATTAAAGCCCTGGGGGCTGCCTCAGCCCCTGGGGCAGGGAAASCAAAGCTCTGCCTGGGGAGCAGGGGCCTCACTGCCAATCCAGAAGATTTACATCCACCTGCACATTAAAATATCCCAGTGGGAATCCAGAGCTGGTTCTAGCAACTTCAGGTGAGAATAAAGAAAGCTGTTACATTCAGACCGTTATTGTTCATGCTGCTTTGTGAATTTATTTCTTTAAATTTTCCACTTGTGCTCCTGCCAAGAGAGATCTATTAGACAGAAAGCAGCAAGAGTAAAACTTTATCATTTTGTTTCAAACTATAAAATAATTTACATCACATATTTTACTTACTTTTGTCTTTTTGTTTGTTTTTTTTTTTGAAACCACAAACATTCCAGCATCACACTGTAGGAATAAGAATAACAATAGAAAGCATAACCTTTTGCATAGTATTAAATGAACAGACAGAGTAAGTTCTTTATTTACAATTATTGTCTAGATAAAAAAATTCATAAAAACAGATGAATGAACATATATTAATAACCCCTAGTGGGATGGATTGCCAATGTACCACTGTATTGTTGTCCACAAATCTCATGCTGCTAAGTACAGTACGTAGAGAGCGAGCATTTATATATTGCAGGGAATTTTAACAAACTGATCATTTTGGTTTTTGATCCATTGTTCCCATCACAGAGAGGTCAAGCAATAAAAGAAAGGAATTGTGATGCACGACTTGTAGTTGAAAGGTCATAGCTATTCTGCTTTAAAAAAAAAAAAAGTCTATCATTTATCATATACATAAAGCACAGTCTCTGCTCACAAAAGCCCAAGTTTTCTATGCATCTCAGTTTATATATGTTTTACTATATATACACAGAATGCAGTGTTCATTTTCTTAACAGTTTTCAAGTCTGCGAATGGTACCTTAGGGAGGGGTACTCCTACGGGAAAAATTAAAAAAAAAAAACCAAACATGAAACCAAGAAAAAAATATGAAGAGTGTTTGAAAACAAAAAGGCAAACAGTCAGTGTGTTAAGATGCTGAAAAGAAACTGTTCCAGTATTAATAGCTTCTGTAGATGTTCGAGTCCAAAGCTAGAGGCTTCCCTGTAAATAGATAACACTTTTGTCTTCTGCCCAGAGATCCCAAGTAGGCCATGAAAGCCAGTCGGCGGTGTAGGAAGGGAAATGACCGTATTTACAGAGCCCACGATCCTACTGAGCTCCCACACTCGGCTGCGGGGAGTCAGCTAACACAGCTACGGGGTCCTGCCACTCCGGCCAGCTCCCAAGGGCCACTGGCAGCCCAGCAGGGACCTGGACACACCTGCTGGGGACAGCTGGGACCCCACAGCTACGGGGGAGCCAAAACCACCGGGGCTCCCGCCCCAAAGTCCGGCAGCTGGCAAGGGAAGCTGCTTAGAGCTTTACCTGGCTGAGAGTCCTGATGCACCCTGCAAACATCTGAGTTCAGGCTGCGGTTTGGCCATGAGTCTAAGCTTGGTTTGGAGAGTTCTGGCTTGGTTTAGTTGCTGTGACTGCAGAGATGCACCACTTTATTGAGCCAACTTTAAGACAACCAGAAACACCTTAACAACTCAATTTACCGAGATGGTTTGAGGGTGTTTTGTTCCAACACGCCTGGCATAATCAATTGTGTAATTCAAAATGTCTTTTGCACTGTACAGTTATGGAAAAAATCATATGCTGAAAAGTCTCCAAGCAAACTTTATATTAAATACAAAAATTATTTATGAAAAATCTGTGATCCACAAAGTGCTTAGCATTCAAGTGGTTGACATAGCAATTGTATAAGCTCATAATTTTAAAGTTTTTAGGGCTGTTACCATCTTGAAAAATAGTTTTTCACCTTCCATACTGCAGGTTTTCAAAGCAGCTTTCTTGGTAGAAAGCTCAAGGTAAAATAACATTTTACTGTGTTACTACATGAACACAAGCTTGTTTAAAAAAAAAATCACACAAAGCACGTCTCAATACACAATTAATAAAGATTCATTCAGTCCTAATAGTGCAGAAATTATATTTTTCTTAAAAAAATAATCAAAGCAACAACCTACAGTGATTTTCATCCAAAATGCCAACAGCCCATACTTTGCAAATAATAAGGAACTAAATGCCTAAATTACTAATTGAAAAGGATTAACACAGTATATCACAAGATTGTAACATTTGTTTTATCTCCGTATAGACAAAGCAAATATAACTTATTTTAAATTATAAACTAATTTAATATCTCTCTAAAAATAGTTTGAGAAGCCATTGCCATATGTCTAAAGAATGAAATAGCCTCCATTATTGTATGTTGCACCAAAACGAGTCCAAGAAGATTATCAGAGGGAAGGAAAAAATAAAAAAGGAGAGAACCTGATCATTTTGATTTTTATTTGAAACAAAGGAAGCCTGGTTTACCTCCCTGTATATAGGATCACAATGCTACATCCAATGTGTTATATTTTGGCTTCTTTTGTTATTTACTAGCAGTATCTACATTATTAACAAAAAAAAAAAAAAAAAAAAAAAAAAAAAAAAAAAAAAAAAAAAAAAAAAAAAAAACCCAAAAAACAAAAAACAAACAAAAAAAAAAATCAGGCAGAAATCAGAGCACGGTTGTAATAAAATATCCAGGGTGCGAGAGTACAGACATTTTCAATGAGCTGAGCTGAGCCATTTTTATACTACTTCGGCAGGAAGTGCTTTCTTAACCCTACAAATAGTTAAGGATATTATCTACAGGTTTGTAAACAAATTACATTCTTTTTTAGGACATAAATAAGTTAAAATAGTCAGAGCAATTTGAGCAGAAACAAGGCAACATGCCAACAAAGAAACTTTATATATATATAACTATATATATATAGATAGATATATACATATATATAATTAATTATCTATATACTTATATGTATATATCTCTATATATAGTCTCATAAATGTTTAAGTTCCTCTGTCCAACTGGTGCAAATCTACTGTGCAAGTTAAGCTTTGCAACTTCAAAAAAGTTATTTAAATTAATCTATACAATTGAGTCCATGCCACACAAGCATTTCAAAAAACTCACAGACCAGTGAATTGGATAAATAGCCTCAGAAAGAAGTCCTCTGCAGTTCCTGCTTAAGGAGGAAAAAAAACAAAACCAAAAAGGAAATAAAAACAAACAAAAAGAGAGAAAGAAGGGCCAGCAGTGTACAGTACATTCATGCAGGAGGATTTTTTTTTGTTTTTGTTTTTCTGAAAGGGAACGGAGGGGGGGTTATGTAAATCAGCCATTCATTCTTTCCCCAAAACCATTGTGATCAACAATTCATTCACTTGTCTCAGAGTGAATAAGAGTTCAAACAGCTTTTCAGCCAGCAATGTTTTTAATATATATATTTATATATCTCGGTTGCTGTGGGGTTTCTTATTTTATTTTATTTTAACTTTTATACCTTTTTTTTTTTTTTTTGCAGTGACCTTTTCAGCTAAAGTGATGTCTCCAGGCTATGTATTGGGCTTCCTGGACTAGAAGAGGTAGCTGATTTACTTGTATCAGTTGTAAGATTGATTCCACTGTCGATAGCACTGTTGTTCTTGTTCAGCGAGGACGGTGGACTCGAGTTTTTCTTGAGAGCAGGGTCTTCTTCTAGGTCTGTGTCATCAATGAGTGGGATGTGGGGCTGGGAATCTTCTATCCTAAATTCAGGATGAGTCATAAAGTTGTGAATAGAGGTTCTAGATTCTGGTTTTTCTAAACCTTCATAGAGAGAGCTACGGAATGCCTTCACGACGCGGATCTGGGGGGAGAAAAGGAAAGGGCTGTCAGAGGGCACCTCCCCAGGGCAGCAGCGGGGCAGAGAACACTTGGTGAAAAATGTAGCACATGGTTAGGGCAGTGCAGGCAGCTGGAGTCCAAAGTCTCTGGATGTTATATGCATAAACGAGTGGCTCAGTTATGTGCATTTTGAATGTCTGTACCAACTGCAATATTAAAATAAATCAAGGTTTAAAGCCATCAAAGAACTGATGGGGAGGAGTGGTTAAAGAAAGCCAAGGTCCACTCGTGTGGTACATCCCTAGTAAAAGACAAGCCATGTTAATTGTAATGCAAATGTCAAACCATGCATGTTGATAGTTTTTTGGCAGTGAGTAAGTAGAAAGGCTTTTTTTTTAATTAAAAAAGTCTCTTTTGTATTGTTGTTAAAAAAAGAACCATTACACATAACATATCACACTTCACAAACAGAAAAGCACGGAACACGGACACGGTTGGATGGGAACGTATGGGACACACACAGGAGCCAAGTGTAAAAACTAGAATATCAATGTTTTAAAGCAAAATCTAMATGGATGCAGCCAAGAGCACAAAAAGCCAAGCAGACAAAGTACTAAGCGTAATCATGCTACCACAGGGGAAAAAAAAAAAAAATCACAGTTACCACATGAACAGAGATAACTTGCACACAACAACTACACTTGGAAGCCTGGATAATGTGAACATAGTATCGTCGAACCAACTTTTATTTGTCCTTCATGCAGATGTGAGGTAAACACTCGAGTATAGACCCACTGTTCTAGCCATTTAGCTTGTTAATAAATAGAAGAACATGTAATAAAATAATGTATTGATTGTTGGGTTGAATTGAGTCCCATTGTTAACAACAAGCTGTTTTCATTTGGTGTCTCAGTTGTGCAGTTAAATGCTGAAAGCCACACGGTTTATGCCATATATGCAGTCTTTAAAGTAGGTCAGGGACCTGTGCCAGGGGCCATCTAATGCCAGGAACCACCTGGCAGTAAGAACAGAGGTGAAAATCAACTCAAGACTCAGCCCAGCGACTCTCAGGGATGGTGCCCACGGCTTTCCCAGTAGGAAAAGAGAGCAACGAGCAGAGATGCTACGTCCTCTGTGGGCGGGCAAAGGGAGGGATGCTCTCTACGTCCCAGGGACCTACCAGTTCTCAAAAGAAGGGAAGGGTTGTGCTGGGTTACTGCTGAAAAAAACAGAACTTTTTGGAAGGGGGTGGAGGGGCAGAGTGGAAAAAACAGAATGGCAAAACGTGATCTGTTGGCAAATGTTTCATGACTAAGTATGAGTTCTAWCCCTCTACTTCCATGTAGTCCATGAGCAACCCTTGAGCATTTCTCAGGGGGGAGACTAAAACACAGGCAGAGGCAGAAAAGGTGCAAGCAGGTACTGTGAAAGCTTCTCCACACACATTTGAGATGGTTTGGTGGTTGGCATGTGGATCTTTTTACATGTAAATATGCTGCACATTGTTGRGTGGCCTGATACACCACTAATTTGTAAAGCTTTAATTCCTCTTTTCCTCGGCAGAGTGCACTTCAGTAATGGCACGAGGCCACAGTGCTCCAGCTGTAGGATCCAGCTGATCCTGTGCTTGGAGCTGGCCAAGTTGGACAGAATTTCAGCACATTTGAGGAAGAGGCTGGCTGTTTTTTTTGTTTTTCTCTTTGAACTCGGTCCTTGTTTATGCTCTCTCAATTTGGATATCCATCATCTTTTGAAAACCTTAACAGCTGAAGTCCAGCCATCTTCAGATCCTGGGGTCAGCCCAAATTCTCTCCCTTCCTTCCCTTCACACATACATTTGGTAACAGCAGGGCACAGTACAAAAAGTAGTTCATGTGACTGCTTGTGCTCCAAGWAAGAGGATTGGAGTTGTACAGGAGGGCTTAGCCACATCGTGGGGTGTGAGAACATTTTAGGTTGCCAGTAGTGCAAGAGGGAAGATTGTCTTGCACGATAAAACAAACAAATACATTTTGCATCAGTTGTTTGCATCASTTTTACCTACTACAGTCACACAGTGTACCTAAGAGAGCTCCTGGAGTTAAAAAACAGGGGCTTATGAAAGCTGAATCTCTGAGTTGTGCCGAGCTGTATGAAGGCTCTGTACAATCAACAGCAYGGGGTAAGAGATTCACTTGCACTGCTAGAGACAGACAAGGGGACAAACTAATTCCTGCATTGTCTATGCCGTTCTAGCTTGCATTTGAAAGTGTAGGGTAATTAGTCTGAATGATGAAAAAAATTGTATGATTGTTGAAGCAGCCTTAAAAGCATATTTCCATATTGTTCTATTTGAAACCAGGAAACTTTTTGTAACGGGGTTACTTTATAGTGTGGGCTGATGAGGTGACATTTCTGCAAATCTCCCCATTATTTCTGCTGTCTGTACACAAATACCAGTCACCTCTTCAGCTGCAGCTGAACGCTGGGGCTTATCAACAAGATAATCAGGATAATTCCATGATCTTGAAAACAGCCACTTCTTATTGGATAGACAGAGGTTCTATCTGTCAGCTGGATTCTTCTTAGTGAAAGCAAATTTTTATTTAAATAAAAGGATTTGATATTATCCTGAACAGATCCAGCAGAATTCAGTGAAAGGAAAGCTTTTCCTCGTCACACAAACTGTACTGAAATCTCTGTGGTTTAGCAAGAAAGGAACTGATCTCAATTTGTGAGCTTCACATCCCCCAGCACTGAAAGCAGCTCTATTGCTTTAATACCAACATTTGGCATCTCATTTGGATTTAATTCCAAGCCTCCAGCCAATCCAGGGAAAAGTACAGATTCCAGTTGTGTTTGACAGGCAGCTCTGCAAATGTGCCTGCCATGACCTGGATTTGGGGCTCTGCAGAGGCTGCTTGAATTAATGAACCAGCCATTGCAGGGAAACATTGCAATGATAACTTTTGGCTTCGTGGTCTGAAGAGAGAACTGCAGTCTCTCACTTTGGCTGAAGGTATGGGGCAAAAGTTTGGTCTGGCCTGTTTGGGTCTTCCAGGAACATTTAGATGTTTCTACAATGGCTTCTACTTATGGGTTTGTACTGGAAAATGAACTTAGAACTGGTTTAGCTCTGCTGATACCTAAGGTAGTTCATCCTCYGAAGGCAATGGAAATGTAAAGGCCAAATCGGGCAAGTCCCTAAAGCTGAGAATAAATAAAATTAGATTTCTAAAGAGTTTTCTTCACAAGGGAGCTGTAGAAACCTACATCTTTACTTAAAATTTCTCTACAGAGATGTATATTTGTCTTCCATTCGTTTTTCACTTAAGAGRGAAACCCCTCCTCAGCTGAAAATTTTGCATACTTAGCTTGGTATCCAGAAGGAAAAAAAAATTTTTAGAGTCACAACTCATTCAGTGACAAAATTTCTGCATTACAATAAAATTCAAAAATATCATTCAAAGTCTGTCCCCCAATGTACTAAATTATTCCTTACAGGGACAAAACTGACTGGAAACAAAGGCAGAGGGTTTTTTGCATATAAAGGTGGCATTTTATTTTCTCTACCATAATGCTACAATATTTAATCTACCTATTATAGCTGATCCAATTCCAATATTTGAAAATATTATTTACCCAGAGTTACATGGCTCAACAGCAACAAATTCTTTTAATACATGCCTAAGTTCAAGATTTGAAGTAATATCTGGTATAAAAATGTTTAGGGGCTCTGCTGAAACAAAGCCCACCCAGGGATTTTTTTGGAAGATCAAATCAAGCAGATGAACTTGGGATGTTGTTATGGCTGTAAAAGCATGGAAAAGCAGGGACATCCGTGATGGATAGAACCTGGGAAGTGTTGGTTTAGTATGAACTATGTAGAGTTCATGTAATGGTGTTTCTTTATGAGACTGACAATGCCAAGGGAAGACAAACAGTGAGATACAGCTCCCTTTTCTCACAGGAATGGAGACAACAGAAAAAAATGAACTGCTTTTAACAAAAGACTGCGGGGACAACACTTCAGGACATTTTTGACATTGCTATAAGTTTCCACTTCTTTCTTCTCTGGAGCTGTAACAGAAAAAAACTCTTCAGCTTCATCCCACCTTGAAAGTCAGATTTATTATACTGCATCAGGCAAGAAAAAAAAAAAAAAAAAAAAAAAAAAAAAAAAAAAAAAAAAGAAATAGAATTTTAGATACTACAAATTTTTTCCCATCAGAAGAAAAAGATGATAATGCAGAATGTCAGTCCTAAGTACAACAATCTAGGCAAAATATCCAAAGCCTGGTAAGCACCAACAGCTGTGTTCTGGTTGGTAGTGCGTGGGCTTATACTCGAATGTTTACCTGGCTTCATCTAAGCCAAGTATCTGGAGTTTGGTTCACATTTATTTCAGGCTCAAGGTTAAAGACTCACAACCTCTTTTTATTTCACTCTCTCCTGCTGAACCCTTTTGTCCAATGTTCTCTAGCCCTCTGGGAAAACAAACACATTTAATATTCAGACAGTAGAGAGTAGGGCACTGCAACAGCAAATAAATTCAATACTGAAAGATCAGTAAGGTGATTAGTATAAAATTGTAAACAAGAGGTCAATTTTGCAAAGAGATGCCAACTCTTAGGTGTAAGTGAGACTATTCTAGATCGAAACTAAAGCTGTACAGAGGTCAAGGAGTTTGGTCAAGGACTATAGCATATGTAAAGCTTTGAAATAGAAAACACYTTCAGTATGTTGCTATTTGTTTCTCTTTGAAGCCTCCCAGTTTTAGGTGAGTAAATCAGAAAAAGTAGGTCTCCACAGGAGATGCTGCATGTGTTGGAGTCACCTGTACATGTTGTGCCTTGTATGTTCTGGAGAGTAGGATGCAGAAGTTGAGCAAATTCAAATAGAAAGTTTAAAAAAAAATTCCAATTTCTAGTGTTCTTCTTTAATAAGTGAAACAGATGCAAAACATTATCTCTGTTTCCACATAAAGTTGCAGCAAATCCTGCAAGTGCTGCTGAGAAGTCAAAGCACAGGCAGCAAGGAAAG